AACGTATAGTGTGGTGATAGTTTTATCCTCCGGTGGGTCCAGACGAGGCATTGTTGAAGCCCGCTTGAGAAGCTTATCTGCTACAGGGTCATTGATTCCATAATACCGATCTTTAATATTCTGATCAGCAAGAGGGTCATCTGGATCTGTAGGCTTCTCATGTCTATGAGAAAAAAATAATGCATATAAAGGTGAAAAAATGCAGATATCACCCAATAGTAACTACATAGTAAAGTCCTATGCCTTTTGAACTAGAAACCAGGGCCATACCAAAATATAATTATCAAACAGAGCTGATACCAAGGGTTTTAGTCTATCAGTCTTTCCCAGTCTCCTAAAATCCATTTTAATGGTCATTTAGGGTGTGAGACTTTCCTTATAAATACTCTTGGCACAATTCATCCCAAAATAAAAAGGGCAAGTGATCACCCCTTTCTGTGTCAATGGTTCTTAACATATTTGAGGTTTTGCATCTACTGAGAATCTGAAGAAAGCTAGGGACCTAGCCCCAGAAAAATGGCTTGCTTAATTTTTAGGGGAGTGGAGTTAATCAAACTCAAGTTAAGAACTCCTAATCCAGATGCTTGGTGGTCTTAACTGGAATATACACACCCTTTTGAAGTTTGGCTCATTTTGACTTCCACTCTACATTGAGATTTAGGCCATTATATGATGACAGTGAGGATTCCCTTCTTATGCAGAAACTTTCAGGGTTAGAATCTACTTTACACTGCATAGCAATGTAGTTTCCCAAGTTTCAGTCATATGTCAAACCCACAATTTAATCAAGCTCTTCTAAATTTAGTAAGTTATATGAGACAGAGTACACTAGCTTCATGAGCTTTAAATTTTAAAGTACAAACTCATTATGCAAAAACAAATACTGAAAGTTTGTCTCAGCTCTTGCCTGTATGGACACTCTTCTCCTCTTTTACACTCTCCTTTTACCCAGAAGGAGCAAATGTGGGGCCGATTCCTTTTGTAGTAGGGTGTAGTCCGGGCCAATTTGAGCAGCATGTCACTAGTGGATGTGGCTTTCCCAAGCATGCCAACTGGCCGTGTTCCATCAGAATTAGAAATCTATATGGGTATGACAAATTTGTAGACTGTCAATTTATTAGTATTTTAATCAAATACAAAAGTACATAAGTCAAAAAGGTCTAGGCTCAATCTCCAGCACTAGAAAAACAAATAAACACCACCACCCCCGAAAAATATATCATGAAAGTGCCAGCATACTTCTCTTTCCATGTTTTGTGTGTAGTACTCTTTGTTGACATCTGACTTTGGCATGTCATCTTTAAAAGACAATCCTGCATCACGAACCTGGATGGGCAGGCCTGGTACAAAGGAATAGAGAAGAAAACCTCAAATACATTTAAAAACATGTCCATATTAAATAAACAGAATAAAAATTCTTCCTTTCTCTTGGTCCTACTTGGTATCAGACACTTTATATATATATATATATTTTTTTTTTTTAAGGGGGGGGGGAGAGAGAGAGAGAGAATTTTTTAATATTTATTTTTCAGTTTTCGGTGGACACACCTTTTATTTTTATGTGGTGCTGAGGATCGAACCCAGCGCCCCGCGCATGCCAGGCAAGCGGGTTACCGCTTGAGCCACATCCCCAGCCCACTTTACTATATTTTTATTTAAATTCTTCAGCATCACCAGACTGATACCACTACATGGCATTCTAAAGAACTGTCTAAATTCCTAAGCTGCCATAAAATTTGATGGAATGAATATTTTAAAAAACCTTTTTGTTTCGTTATCAGGGATTGAACCCAAGGATGCTTAACCACTGAGCCACATCCCCAGCTCTTTTTATGTAGAAGTAGACCACAATAGACATTCCAAAGTGGGATCAGAACCAGGTTTCGCTAAGTTGCTTAGGACCTCACTAACTTGTTGAGGCTGGCTTCTAATTCATGATCTTCCTGCCTCAGCCTCTGGGGTCGCTGGGAATACAGGCATGTGCCATCGCACCCAGCATTAGAAAATCTTTTTTTAAATTTTTTATAGTAGACGGACACAATACCTTTATTTTATTTTTATGTGGTACTTAGGATTGAATCCAGTGCCTCACACATGATAAGCAACTGAGCTACAAACCCAGCCCTAGAAAATCTTTTTTTTCTTTCTTTTTTTTTTTTAATTTTTATTGTTGGTTGTTTAAAACATTACATAGTTCTTGATATATCATATTTCACACTTTGATTCAAGTGGGTTATGAACTCCCATTTTTACCCCGTATACAGATTGCAGAATCACATCAGTTACACATCCATTGATTTACATATTGCCATACTAGTGTCTGTTGTATTCTGCTGCCTTTCCTATCCTCTACTATCCCCCCTCCCCTCCCCCCTAGAAAATCTTTTAAATAAACTTGGGTTATAGTCATATTTGACCTGAAAATTAATAATGTATCTAAACTTTATTAACACAACTTATTTAAAATAAACGTAAAATTTATCTTAAAGAAATTTATTTCAAGGCTGATCCTACAGATAGTCACAGACACACAAGGGTGATTGTACTTCAGGACCAGAATTCTCATTAATAAACATATAAATACTATTAAACAATATGTGGCTAAGAGTCTGATTACCAGAGTCCTTTCTGAACTTAACATATATTAATACACATTTTCCTTTCCCCTCTTATTTAACTATATAGAATTCTTGTTGGCAAATTTCTTTTCTTAAAAAGTCACCTACAGTTTAAAAGAAAAAAATAATTCCCAAAGTAGCTGTTATAAAACAGTAATAATATAATATTTTGGTTCTAACAACCCAGCTGAGATAAAAGTTTAAAGCATAATTAGCCTTTGAGCTTCTGATTGGGATTGTGGGAAAAAAGCTCTGGCTGAAGAAAAAAGCCCAAGGCCAAGAATTTCCTATTACAGGATCAATGTCTTTTACCTCACCTTGGCTACAGAGATGGAGGTATAGGTCAGTTCTGTTTACTTCTCAACTGTTCCTTAAGATCCTACTATATTGTTCAGGACTCTAGAGTGGATTAATTATGATTCTACTCCTGGGAGAAGTAGACCACAACAGACATTCCAAAGTAGGATCAGAGCCAGAGGCAGGGAGAGAAGTGAGAGACAAGTTTGTTGTTTAGGGAACATTTACACTTACAGACCTATTGGACATGGCAAACATACCATACTCTAGGTCTAAGAGGCAGGTCTGACAGACATTCTTCAATTTACTGCAAGTTTGGCACACTTCAGTCTTCTTGAAGCGCATGCGGACTCCAGGACACCAGCGAAACACTGTGAATGGCCTGGCACAGATCTGAACACAAACAAGAGCCACAGAGTGTTATGGGTCCTGATCTGGATAATCAACCCAGCAGATTTAATAACAACGGGGAATTCAAGAAAGGATTCTTGAATCTAGGGTTTAGAAGAGACCTTAGCAATCACCCGTTTAAATACCAACTGTTTCAATACAATTTACAGCACACTTTGCCAATAGTTAAAATATTTAAATAGTTAAAAGTCCTCCCACCAGAGATGAGCAACATTAATAATTTGACTCTGCCCGGGGATGTGGCTCAGAGGTAGAGTATTTGCCTAGCAAGAGCAAGGCCCTGGGTACAATCTCCAGTACCACAAAACAACAAAGACAAATAATCCTTCAATCTTTCTGAGGGAGGAGGAAGTGGGGAATATCACATAATCATTTGAGAATCTTATGTCAGCTATGACTTTCCTTCTCAGCTAAAATGCTCACATGCACAATCATAACAACACTTATTATACAAACTTCCGATGTTCAATGCCTATTCACCATCACTAGGTCAAGAATCAATACATTACAAGGTCATTTTTCTTATCTCCCACACTAAATAGTTACAAGTCAGTGATACATCGGTGACATATGAAAGTTATAGAGTACTGACTTTTATGCTTAGTATGTAAAGGCTAGTTTTGTAGAGAAAAAGAAGAAAAAAATATCATTATTTCTTAACAGACATACTTACTTTGCATTCTTTCCCATACTTTTCTTTGGTCTGAAATAGAAAAAGAAAGAAAGAAAAGAACTAGTTACAGGAAGAATGTCTATGCTTATCCTATAGACAACCCAAGAAATGTGTCTGGAGATCTCTGGCATCCTAAAGGGGGGAAAACCAAAACCAAACTAAATAGGGGAGTTTAGTTAGAATATTTCCCCAAAAAGGGAGAGTAGGATAGAGGAAATATTCAAACAACATACTCTGAGTTATTCTCTCTCAAGAGTCTATGAATCTAATACCAGGCAAATGTCTATGCACAGCCATAACTCCTAGGTTCATTCTGGCTCCCAAGAACTAAATTCCTAATGATTTCCACAGTTCTTAAAACAGGATACAGCTATGGCTGGTCCCTTTCACAAAGTATAGTAAGAAGATAACTACTCTAGCCTATGCAGATACCTTAAGTTATTCATACAACATATACTAATCACAATAATGGAGTTCTAACTTAATTACTATTGCTCTTTTACCCTTGTCTTTTTAAGAATAGTGTCTCTTATACTAAAGACTACTAAGTACAGTGGCTGAATTGCATATGACTTAGGAGTCAGGAATCTAATCCTGGTTCTCCTCCTAATTGCTGAGGTCTCTGAAGTCAGAATATCTGAATTTAAATCCTAGTTCCACTCCTTACTTCCATATGAGAAAACATAAGCTCTCTAGGTCTCTGGAATAGACGTATTTCCTAGCTAAATGCTCAACAAATATTAGTCGTTATGATTCCTACATTACAGGATCACTGCTAAATTCCTAAGTGAGAGAGTAAGAATGACAGTCCTTTGCAAATCATCCAGCACTCTGGGTTAGTAAAAGAGCATCATTTCTTCTGATGGAAAGGGAAACACTTTCCAGAGAATGTCAGCAATAACTCCCGTTCACACGCGAAATCACTCACCATTCGGATATATGGGTTTTCTCCAAGACAAGTCTGGCATAGAATGGGGAAATCCTGGTGAAAATGAGAATATGGATGAGGATCAAGCTCCAAAGATCCTGCCACCCCAGTCCCACTCGTGGGGGCGGGGGAGGGCGGGGAGAGAGAGCCGGGAGGAAAAGGCAGGAGGAACCCCAGGTCCAGCACGGGCCGGGTCGCGGGAGGGGGCGCTGTCTGCACTTCCGGCAGGCGGCGGGAGAAAAGAAAATCAGCTGGAAAAGGTTGGAGGGGGCAGGGATGGAAAGGCGGCTGTCCAGGGACCCTGGCTAAGTCCCCTCCCTCCAAGCCGCAGGAGGGCCACGCTCCAGCCTCCTGCTCCCGCCGAGTTAGGCCGCAGCATCGGGTCCTCCTTGGAGCTCCCTCGGTCGCGCCGCAGCCTCAGTCAGCCCTCCCGCTTGAGGCTGGGCTTCGCCGCCTCCTGCCGTTCTCCTCCGGCGGGTACACTCACCGCATCCTCCCAGTTCTGCCTGTTGTAGGTGTTGGAACCCAGCGAGGTCGCCATCTTGAGAGCGTCCGGGGGGCAGCGGTAGCTTCCGAGTTGGGAGAGGACCGCCACAATCCCGTCAGGCCCGGGGCTAGCGCCCCGCTGTCGACGTCTTATTTACGCGCCTAGTGCCGCCCTCGGGGCGGGGCCTTGTGCGTCGTGACGTTACCTCTCTTGGAACGTTCGCTTAATAGTTGGGGATTTTGTGTCCTCGCTCCGACGCTTCCTTCGCGTTGGTGTCTACTTGGGGTAAAGCCACGCGCACAGGTCCCAGAGTGAAGGAGCAGATGCTGAATGAGGGGCTGGGGCTGGGGTTCAAACAGGGCTGGCCACCACTGGGCGCTAATCATGACAAACGCTGGGGGAACGTCTTGCGGTGCCAGTCTCGTTTAATTCTCAGAATAACCTCTCTGTATCGTCTCCAGTGTTAGCAGACAAATAGAGAACGTCTGGTGAAGTCGAATTTGAGATAAACAAGGAATCGTTTTTTTCAACATAAATACGTTTGATACATATTTTATACTAAAGTTGGTGTCATTTTTTTTTAAATCTAAAAATCACATTTAACTAGGTGTCCTGTAGTATGTTGATTCCTCTTTTATAGATAAGGAAACAGATTTCGGAAGATTAAGTAACCGGCCCTTGCTTGTGGAGCTAAAATGGCGAAACACAACAGCAAAGGCATTAATACTATTTTTTTTTCTGAATTCTGATACAAGAAAGGTCTTGAGATATATATATATATATAATTTTTTCTTGGAGCTAGTACCGGGGATTGAACTCTGGCGCTCAACCACTCATCCATCCACATCCACAGCCCTTTTTCGTATTTTATTTAGAGACAGTCTCCCTGAGTTGCTTAGTGCCTCCATGAGACTAAGACTAGCTTTGAACTTGTGATCCTCCCATCTTAGCGTCCGGTGCCGGTGCCGCCACCGTGCTGGGCTTATACATTATTTTTTCAATTTTGGAATGACTCAACAGTTCTGCCAATAGTTTTATGATCTTCAAGCCATTCTAGTGTCACTTTTATTAAACAACCTTTATAACTTTTAAAAATCAAGTTTATTTGAAGTATAATTTATATTTGGTAAGTTTTTATCTTTTTAGTTGTACAGTTATGAATTTTTGCATACATTCACCACAAATACAGAATAGTTCCATCATCTCCAAGGAGCTCCTTGGTGCCAGTAGAAGATTCACTTACTCTTACACTCAGCTCACAGCAACCATCCTATGCCTGTGTTCCTGGTTTTACATAGGATTATGTCCTGATAGATCCGTTATTTGGAATTTGGTCATCAGTTCAGGAACTGAGCTGGTTTTTGTTTCTTTTTCTTTCTTTCCTTCCTTCCTTCCTTCCTCCCTCCCTCCCTCCCTCCTTCCCTCCCTTCCTTCCTTCCTTTCTTCTTTCTTTTTCTTTTTTTTTTTTGGTACTGGGGATTGAACCCAGGAGCACTTTATGACTGACCTACATCTCCAGTCCTTTTTATTTAGAGACACGGTTTTGCTAAAGTTCCTGAAATTGACCTCCAATTTGAGATCCTCATGCTTTAGCCTCTCAGTGCCTGGGATTACAGTGAATTTGGGTTTTGTTGTTGTGGTTGCTTTTAGTGTCATAGATTTTACATCCTCTAGCTTTTTTTTTTTTTTTTTTTTTTTTTTTTGCTTTAGGCTGGGGCCGGAGAAGTTTTCTGAAAGTTCATCCTTGAGCATATAGCTATTCTGCATAGCTGCTCAGTAGAGGTATGTTTCCTTCTGTGCCTTTGCCCATCCCCCAAGCACTGATGCTTGTTACTAGCCGCTGACTAGGCTATTAGTGAAGGAGGGATAAAGGGGTTCTCTGTTGCTCTAATTCAGTGCAGCTTAAGTCTTTAGGCCTTGTGTGTCTGGGCTTTAGGAATGGTTTCTTACTCAGTATTCTTTCCCCTCTTCCCTCTAGCAGTTAAACTCTGTGCCTGGTATGGTAGGGGAGAGTTTCTGTCCTTTCCACAGAACTTTAAGGGCTGTCTGTCCCTCTAGAGATAAAATGCATAATCCTTGTTTTACCACAAAGGTGTCTTCTTTGTGAGATTGCCCCATTCTTTCTTCAATATATATGTACTTTCCTAAATAAACCTCTGTCTATGCCTCTGGGTTGGGCAGGACCCTTTAATGGCATTGATAATCTGGGAAGATAGGATATTCTGTTCCTCTGTCAGTGGCTTAGGCCTTTCACTCATTATGAGGGAAGGGCCCAGGCAGGGAGGAAAAGTTTTACAACCTTTCTCACATGCAACCCTCCTACATCCCTCCTAACCAAGCAAGACTCTCTAGAGCTCCTACCTTGCCCATTTTTCTCATGAACACCTGGTGGAGGTTTTAGAAAGAGCTTGTGAGTGCTCACAAACTAGCTCCCTTCTTGTCTTGCACTCCCAGAATGTTATGCTGTTGTGTAGCTTGTATTTGACCTTTAGCAACTCTTTTAACTTTTCAGTTTATTTCCTCTTACCTGCTTGTATGTTGGCTAACATGTCTCCCACATCTGCCATAGGTGAAGCAGTCTACATGTTCTCTCTCTCCTTTGGGGGTTCTGTCTCTCCTTGGAATTGAGGCCATTAGGTTGCTGTGTCACATGAGCTCTCCAATAGATCCAAGAACAGTAATGATTTTGTCATCTGTTCACTCTTTGGTTTTGAGTGGGGGTAGGATTCTTTACAGATGTCTACATGATAGTCAGAAGTTCTGTAGAACTCTGGAGTCAACCAATTTTTATTTAAATTTATTTTAAGAGGAATATTTCTATCACTTCTGCAAATGGAAAGTTAGTATCACATGCTTATATGTGGCCTTAAAAACAAGTACAATGACAGTGAAACAGTGTTATTTAGCAAGTGCTATTGTTGACTTTGAAAGCCTCCATCCAGAAGTCTGATAAAAACAACAACAAAAAACAAAACAACAACAACAAAAAAAACCCAAAAAACCCGGGAAACAAGGATGTATCAGCTGTTACAAACATAATAGTATGGACATTTTATTCTTAGATGTTATAAACATCATTAGTGCTGATATTTTTTTTTCCTTTGACTTAACCACAAAGGGGATGGGAGCATGAGAACAAGAAGGAAAAAAACTCTTCCACCATTTGATTTCCATATTATTTAATGTTACTTTAATTTAACACTTTAAGTTGTTACTTTGTGTAGGAATTGAATACTGTGAAATATACTTTACTATATTATTAATGTCCTGACTACCAGAAAATGTGACACTCAATGATAGGAATAAGTCTGAGAAATGCATTGCTGTGTAGTTTGGTTATTGTGTGAATATCATAGAGTGTACCTTACACAAACTAAGATGGCTATAATCTCATTAGATGATATAATCTTAGGGGACCACTGTCACATATATGGTTCATTGTTAACTGAAAATGTCATGTGGCATATGACTGAATTGACATTCAACAAACAACTTAGCTTGAGTTTTGGAGTTTGCTGTACACTGCCCTTTGAATCGAGTGTGTGGGAGAAACAGATGGCAAAGGGACCTGGATTTGGCTCCTAGGGAATCTACTGTCCAATAAATGAGCTAGGCTCATATGAAACTCTACAATGAAAGGAAGAAAGAGGTACTTGCCTTGGAGAAGTACAGTGTTGTGAATTAAGACCATATTTAGGCCAGGGGTGGTGGTACACAAGTGTAATCCCAATGACTCCAGAGGCTGAGGCAGGAGTATGATAAATTTGAAGCCAGCCTTAGCAGCTTAGACTGTCTAAATGAATGAATGAATGAATAGGGGAGGGGTAAAGCTCAGTGGTAAAGCACACTTGGGCTCAATTCCCAGAACCAAAAACAAACAAAAAACTCTCACATTTAGGTGAGAGCAGAGAAGTAATCCTAACAGTTCAGAGAGCAGGAAGAGAATCCTAGGTATAAAAAACACTAGAACAGCCGAGCACAGTGGTGCACGACTGTAATCCCAGCAGCTTGGGAGGCTGAGGCAGGAGGATCATGAGTTCTAAAGCCAACCTCAGCAAAAGCGAGGTGCTAAGCAACTCAGTGAGACCCTGTCTCTAAATAAAATACAAAAAAATAGGGCTGGGGGTGTGGCTCAGTGGTCGAGTGCCCCGAGTTCAGTCCTTGGTACCAAAATAAAAATAAAAACAAAAACATCAGAATAAGAAAGCATAAAGTAAGAAGCCCTTTGGCTTTTTTTTTTTTTTTTTTTTTTTGGTACCAGGGACTGAACCCAGAGGTGCTTAACCACTGAGACACATCCCCAGCCCTTTTTAATATTTTATTTACAGACAGGGTCTTGCTGATTTGCTTAGGACCTCACTAAGTTGCTGAGGCTGGCTTTGAACTCTCTATCCTCCTGCCTCAGCCTCCTGAGCTGCTGGCATTATAGGCGTGCACCACTGTGCCAGGTCCCCTTTGGCTTCTGACAAAGTCTCTCTCCCCCTCCTCCCTGTATATATACACATATTCAACACATACACATATTTGTGTATATATATTTTAAATGATAAAAGATCAATATTCACTAAAAAAAACCCCAAAAAACAAAAAAACACCAACAACCCGTTATCAAGTCATGAAAACACATGGAAAAGCCTTTAATGTATATTACTAAGTGAAAGAAGCCAGTCTGGCAAGACTGCATACTGTGATTTCAACTATAACATTCTGGAAAAGGCAAAAATTATGGAGACAGTAAAAAGATTTATGGTTGGGGTGTGAGAGGGATAAACGGGCAGAGCACAGAGGATGGTACTGTAATAGTGGGTACCTACCGCATATCTTTGCCTAAATGCGTAAAATGTACAACATGAATGAATTCGTGAACTATGGGCTCCGGGTGATAATGATATGTCAATGTAGGCTTATTAGGGTTTTTGTTATTGGTGTATTATAATCATATATAATAGTGGAATTCATTGTGATTTTTATATATGCACGATGTAATTGGTCAGTTTCATTCCCCACTCTTCCTTCCTCCCCTTGGCTTACCTTTTTTCACTCCCATTTTCATGAGATCCCCCTCCTCCATTTTTTTCTCTAGCTTTCACATTCGAGAGAAAATATTTGACCCTTGACTTTTGAGTCTGGCTTATTTTGTTTAACAGAATGCTCTCAAGTTCCATCAATTTTGCTACAAATGACATAATTTTATTCTTTATGACTGAAGAAAACTCACATTTTCTTTATCCATTCATCTGTTGATGGACACTTGGCTATAGTCAATTGTGCTGCGTTTTGTAAACAGGTGTGCGTGCACGTATCACTATAGTATGTACACTTTAATTATTTTGGATAAATACCAAAGAGTGGTGTAGCTGGGTCAAATAGTGGCTTCATTTCTAGTCTTGAGGAACCTCCCTATTGGTCTCCACAGTGGCTCTCCTAATTTGCAGTCTCACCAGTGGTGTAGAAGCATTTCTTTCCCCTGACATTCTTGCCAGCATTTTATGTGTATTCTTGATATTGCTGTTCTAACAGGAGTGAAATGAAATTTCAGTGTAGTTTTGGTTTGTATTTCCTTGATTTCTAAAGATGTTAAACATATTTTTCACACATTTGTTGGCCATTTATATTTCTTCTCTTGAGAGGTGACTATTATCCATTTCTTGATTAGATTGTTGTTTTGGTGTTCAGTTTTTTGAGTCTTTGTGTATTCTCAATATGAATCTTGTCAGAAGAGTAGCTGGCAAAGATGTTCTGCCATTCTATTGGCTCTCTCTTCACACTCATTTCCTTTGCTTTGCAGGAGCTTTGTGATTTGATGCCGTCCTGGGTATTAATTCTTGGTATTATTTCCTGAGCTTTAGGAGTCCTATCGAGGGCAGTTATTTGCCTGTGCCTATAGATGTGTTGACATTTATTTTCTTCTAGCAGTTGCAAAGGCTTCAGGTCTAATTCCTAGGTCTTCAGTCCATTTTGTGCAGGGTTAAGGATAGGGATCTAGTTCTATTTTTCTACATATGGACACTCATTTCACCCAGCACCATTTGTTAATGAGGCTGTCTTTTCTCTGGTGTATGTTTTTGGTGCCTTCGTCAAGGATCAGACGATTGTGTCTGTGTGAGTTTGTTTGTCTTCCATTCCATTGGTTTACATGTCTATTTTCATTCCAGTACCATGGTGTTTTGCTACTATAACCCTATTGTTTGAGATCAGGTATTGTGATGCCTCCAGCATTGTTCTTTTTACTCAGAATTGCTTTGGTTATTTTGAGTCTTTTATTCTTCCATATAAATTTTAGGAGTGTTTTTTCCAGTTCTGTGAAGAATGTCATTGATATCTTTTTTTCTTTTTTAAAGATTTGTAGTTGTAGATGGACAGAATGCCTTTATTTGTTTATTTTTATGTGGTGCTAAGGATCAAACCCAATGCCTCACACATGCTAGGCAAACGCTCTGTCACTGAGCTACAGCCTCAGCCCCAGTCACTGATATCTTAATGGAGATTACATTGAATCTGTAGACCACTTTTGATAATATGGCCATTTTAACAATATTAATTCTGCCTGTCCAAAAATGCAGGGTCTTTCCATTTCCTTTTGTCTTCTTCAGTGTCTTCTGTGTTCTATAGTTTTCATTGTAGAGGTTTTTCACTTGCTAGGTTAGATTTATTCCTAGGTATTATAGTTTAAATATGAGATGTCTTTCGGAAGCTCCTGCACTGATGCAGATAAAAAAGATTAGATTCTAAGAGATATAACCTAATCAGTGGTTTAATCCACAGGATTACTGTATTGGGTGGGAACTGCAAGCAGGTGGGGCATGGCTGGAGGAAGTAGATCTCTAAGGGCATGCCCTTAGGGTTATCTTTTTCCTCCAGCTTCTGCCTTCCTCTCTCTGCTTCCCAGATGCTGTGAGCTGAGCAGCTTTCTCTACCACACTTGTCTGCCATGATGTTCTGCCTCACTCTGGCTCAGAGCAATGGAATCAACCAACCATCGACTGAGACCTCTGAAACCATGAACCAAAATAAACTTCTCCTATTCAAAATTGTTATTGTTGGATATTTTGGCCACAGCAATGAAAAACACATGAGGCATTATTATTATTAATGAACACACTAGGTATTATTATTTTTGGGCTCATCTGTTTTAACAGATGTACCACAATGGTGTTATAAGCTTTAGTGGGGGAGGCTATGTACATGTGGAGGCAAAGGGTATGCAGGAAATCTGTTTTTGCCAATTTTGCTGTGAATCTAAAATTGTTATAAAAGCTTATTAAAAATATAGCTCAGTTGGTAAAGTGCTTGCCTTGCATGCACAAGGCCCTGGGTTCAATCCCGAGCACTACTAAATAAATAAATAAATAAATAAATAGATAAAGCAGCTACATAGGGATAGTATTTATCTGTTCAAAAAAGAGACGGGGCCCACTACTTGTCATCATTCTGTTTTGTAAAATTAACAGTTATAAAGAAAAACAAAAATCCCAGCCCTAATGGGGCTTCTGTTTTAGAATGGTGAGAAAGAAAACAAACCAGAGTATACTATGTTGGAGGGCGACTAATACTTTGGGGGGCAGGCATGAAACCAAGGGGGATAGGAAACAATGTCAGGGAAAGCCACATGAAGGCAACATTTGAGCAAAGACCTTGTGGTGAGGGTGGGTGCTTTGTGTATCTATGACAGCAGAGGTAGCCAGTGCAAAGGCCCTGAAAGCGCCTGCCTGGGGAGACTGGGGTGGCATGCGCACAAGGAGGAACAGGAGATCCATTTTGGGAAGAGGTTGGAGAATATTTCAGGTCATATAGGACCTTACATGCCACCGAAGGAATTTTATAGTTTACTGTTGAGTGAGCTAAGGTGACTTTCATGGATTTTAAGCAGAGAAATGGCTTAGTCACTCTGCCTCGTGTTGAAAGTGGACTAAGGTAGGTGGAGGGACCAGGGAGATTTCTATGCCACTGGAAAAACATTCTAGGGGTGGATATAGATGATGGTGACTTGATAGGATAATAATGTTGGAGATGGTGCCAAGTGGTAAGGGTGTGAGGACAGCTGGCACGATTTACTGACTTACTGGATATGGCATGTAAGAAGCAAGGGATTATTATTTATTTATTTTATTGTAACTGAAAAATACAGTTGCCATTTAATTTAGGAACCCCTGGAGAACAGATTTGATGAGAAAATCCAGACCATGGTTCTGGACTTTCAGAGAATATTGTAGAAATGGTACTTGAATATGGGAGATGGCCTGGAAATGAGGTGATACCACTAAAAAGCACAGAAAGAAGTGTTAAGAAAGGAGACCTGGACTGCAAGGCTGGGAAGATAGGATATGAGAAACAAGTTCCCAGTCAGGCAGAAGAAAACCAGTGTTGTGTTCTGGAAGCAAATATAGTCTTTGAAGAAGAGAGAGATCAACTGTTGGATGCCACAGATAGACAACCTAATTAAGTACTGAGAACTGACCTTTGTATTTAACAGTGTGGAGACTGCTGGTGACCTTGACAGGGGCAGTTTTGATGAAGCAGTAGGAGTGAGGGCCTAACTGGAATGGGATTGGATGAGGATGGCAGGAGGAAGGTAGAGTTGTTTTGTTATGAAGAGAGCAAAGCAATGGGTGGCTTTGTGGGAGGAGGGCGAGGTCCACCTCTCTTAAGATGTGAGAATCATGCCAACAGAAATGATACAGACAAGGAAGGAAGCTTAAGCTAATGTGATATCCTTGAATAGGTTCAGAGGATGAGGTGAGTATTAAGAGGAGAAACAGAAATAACTCTATTGTAGCAACAGGAAGGGTTATGTGGGCACAAAAAGTGGATGAGTGTCTACTTGTGGAAGTAGGACCATTTTGTACATTTGAAAGGATATTGTTGTGAACAATCACCCAGGATATAAAAGCTGGCAGATGTCTAACAACAATTATATAATGGTCATAAGAATATGTGTATAAGTAGCTCAAGCAATACCTACAATGAACTACCCTTATATGAAGTTTTAGTTTAGTTCATGTAAATAACGGGGAGGGACCACCCATCTTCTCAGTTTCAGCCATGCTACTTCCAACCAGTTGTGAAATGAAACAAAAGATACACTCAAGCTTTGTCTGCTTTATTTCACTACATTAAGCAATAAGGCAAAACAGTAACCTTTCATGAAGACCAAAGAGTGCCTCTCATTCCCAAAAGGGACTAAAAAGTAAGCTTCTTCACAATATGCATGACACTTAGCTCATTATGCCTATAACATGTACTTTGAAACAAATAAAACTTTGGTGAGTGAATCAAATCACAAATCCAAACTAACTTAGCCTTATATTTCCAAAATTTTAGTTTCCAGTGTAGACGAGGTCTAACTCTCCTGTGGTGGTGCACACTAGCATTAAAAACCTTGCACCTGATCTAATGTAAGAAAGGCAACAGATGAAATTCCTAACTCACCAGCTGCAGGTGTTGAATCATTTCTATGAACACACAGAATATCAATTTGCACTAAAACCCATCTCAAGGAAACATTACTCCAGTGGCTCTTGTATTCTGTGTTAATTTGGCTTCTGAAGAAAAAAATTCTATGATCAAAAATGTTTTTATGTTTCAGTATCATACTGGAGTGAGGAGACCTATTACTGCAACATTATTACTTTTGGGAACAAATACCAGCTACAAGCCATAAAGGCATGACATAAAACTGCAAGCAGCCTATGCAAATATGTAAACATATGAAGCTACTCTCTCCTTTGTTGCCCATTTCCTCCACTGGCAAATATGAAGCAGTGGTTTCACAACAGACTCTAGTACATGGGGAAATAAAAATTAATTTGACATTCTATGGGATCACGAAAAATTAAGCTTTTTTTAATAGTCTGTAAACTTATAATACCCATCTCCCTGCCCCAATTCCCAAGAGGCTAAACTTTAGTTATTATCACAATATTAGAGATGAGTATTTTTTCCCTTATGTTGCAGCACAATATATTGGGCTGTGAGAATATTGCTTCATAAAATTGACCTTGAGGGTGCAATTTAGTGTCCTTCAAAAGTTTCCTAAATAGCTTTGTCTTTCAAGGAGAGCTGACAAGTATTATGTATCTCTATTCTAGATTATATATCTTATTTTTTTTCAAGACTGAAAATTAAAAACAAAACCAGGGTAAGTAGGAAATTTTTCTTTCCTCAAAAGTCTGTTGACCACACACCAAGAATACTTTTGAGAAAATGTGGTGCAGCTGGTGGTCTACTTACTGTACTAAGTCTCATTTGAGAAAACATCACAGAAATTAAGGTCAGCAACCCAGCTAGGACCCAGGTGAAAACAGCATGTCTGCTGTTAGGCCAGCACTCTGGGCTACTTGCTAAATTATGTTATGGTTTACAATCAAAATGGTCTTATTTGATATACCATATGACAAAAGGCTTAGACTCAGTGAGGGGTGTTTTTTGCCCCCCTATCTTAATATCCAATTTTGGATTCAAGACATTGTAATAGTTCATTTCTTCTTCAAATCAGTGGAAAGAACTTTATTTCAGGTCATACTAAAAATCTAACCTTTAAAATGTTTTTTACAGTCTCAAAGTGAACTTGTCCACTCAGGTTTCCTGCGGAGTTTTTCAAGTCCCAAATACTCAGAACAATTTATTGAATTAAAAAGGCAGAGCAGAAAAGAGAGGATGAGCGATAAGAACAAAGACTGTTTCCCGTGGCAGCATTCATTCCTAGGTATTGAGGCAAAACTTAAAACAAATGGAATTTGCTACCCTCTTGATATGACATGTAATTCCTTGCTTCTTTCAAAAGGAAAAGCTTCATATTGTTCTGGGAAAAAATTAAAAGCAACTGATAAATTAGTGTCCTATATTCATCTAGAAAGAGGGTAAATGAGAGTGCCTTACTTCACAGGTTTTTCCAAACATCACAAGACTAAAGGTAATATGTCAATTCTATTTTTTTTTTTTTTTTTCCAAAACAGAAATCTATGACAAAATGAGAGCCATGTTGGCAAATAAAGGGGTAAGTTTTAGATGGCGAGATGATATATACTGGAATGCAGAAAGCAGCTGGTACATTGAGACCAATGCTGGATCATTAATAGCAGGTCCACCTTTGGGTTATCACTGTTAAGTTTCAACTGTTGGATTATGATCCTTTGTGAGATCAGATCAAGAGATAGTATAGTCAGTTTCTCAGGTGGTAAATATAACACCATTCTGAGGAACAGCCATCCCCTTTACTGGGATGGAGCTATGTTGCTGTTATTCAACGTGCAGGGCTCAGTGAGGGAAACACAGATTGACTGGTGTCAATAGAGGTGACAGCAAGAGGAACAGCAGTTACCCTGTGTTCCTGATGCCTGGCTTGTGCTCCCACTCTTAGGAAGAGGACCGAGTAGTGCATGGGTACATCATGATAAACAAAGCCTAATGAAGCATGAGCTTCCATGTTTTAACACAGGTCTGTGGTGACGTTGTCTCAGGTGGAATCTGCCCACCAAAGTAACCTTTTAAGGAAGAAGCGGGCCCAAGCTGAGTTCCACATGCTGGGTGAGCCAGATGACTTCTGTGCTCTGGTCACTTTCTTCAATGGGGCGGATTGGGGCTGCCAGATTTTTAAAATCATGCTTCATCTTGAAGGACACGGTCACTTCACCCTCCTCGCGCTGGGGGGTAACTTTGATGAAAATGCCCACTTTGTTGGCCTTTCTGAAGGCTATAATGCTATGGAAAGAAAAAAGTAGAGTATTAGGTAGGTCACAAGTCAGCCAAACCACTAAGACTTACAGTCGTTTTATGGCACGATGGGGAATCTCTGATAAGACTACCATTTTATTTATCAACAATGAAGAATTTCTCTAGTAAATATTGATCTCTTTATTTTCTTAATATTGCAAAAGTAAATACGGTCAAGAAACATTCAAGTAGGAAAAAATAAGTTCTTCTCCTTCTATTCAGTACAGAGAGACAACTCAAAACACTATTTCTTAACCTACCAGATATTTTCCCATGAACTTATACTTTTCTGCTTTTTTAACCAACACAAATGGGACGTACTATATTATGGTTTGAATCTGAGGTGCCCCCAAAAGCTCACATGTGAGACAATGCAAGAAGGTTCAGAGGAGAAAAGA